ATATACAATGTTTGGGAAACTACATTCCCTATATCTTATCAAATTAATTTGATCTTTTCTTATAAAAACTGCCATTTTTAATGATAATTGTACCTTTTGGAAGATTTATCATCTCGTTGTATAATGTTAAGACTAGTGCTTGCTGGTTAGCATTTTCAAAATAATATTGGTCAAGACACGCTTAACAATGTAGTGATTGATGTAGCCATGAAACCATAGCCTAAATCCGACACTAATCGCGAAAATGTTTTCCTTTTCAAAAGCATGAAGCACTAGGTTGTGATAATTTACTTCCGTGCAATTTCCACATTTTATTAGCAAATCAGAAACATTTCGAGTCCTAGAACGTACAGAAACCTGTGACAATAATCAGGGCTACGCCACGCCCTAATGATGAAAGATGTTGGTACCATTCAAATTTAAGGGACTGCCTTTCAAGCCGTGACTGTGTACTAGGGGTTTATACATCTTAGTATTCTTCTATTTCGTCCCTACCTATGATGTAGGGTCACACCCCTGGAAATTAGTGAGGACAGCTAGTTCGCAGCGCGACAAGGCTTAACTCGAATTTCTTCATAAGTGACAGTTTCACTTCTAGGACCTGCCTTCTATATACAAGAACAAAGCTCGGACCAATCAGTCTGCCAGTGACAAAGTTCCAGATTTTCTGCCAATGCCCTCTGTCTACATATACCGAATGGATGAGAGAAGATATGAGTAGGGTTTTATTCCTGTCCATTACAAACCGCGAGTATACTAGTAAGAGACCTAAAAAACAGCATATATTCATCATGATGTCACAGAAACCAACCAGCGCCGCCTGGTGATATAATGCAACTTAACAGTTTGCTTTCATGGTTATCCGTGATGCTTGCGGCTCCTTCCACTCGATAACATGCTACTCGATAAGTTATACATGTAGTTATTGGCGTCCGCGCCGAAGCGCGGCGCCTTTTATGGAATGAAATCAGATTTTGTGAAAGGGCGACAGCAACTTCTTGAGCCTTTTAGGTCGGTCATAATAAAAGCCGATCATTCCGATTGGTATGAGAGTGCTTGATTATTAATTAAGAAACAAATGTCGCGATATGTTACAATGATTAGCGAACAGGAGAATTTCGCAATGCAAACATTTTCAAATGAAATAACCTTTTCTGTCAATAAATCGCGCTCTTGGGTTTTTTTTATCATTTTGTAGTACACAGTGGGTTATCATGGTATGTTATTGTTGTACATGTATCCTAGAATATTCAGTTGATTACCTAAATATTCCGAAAATCTATTTATAGATATATCTATTTATCACTCCTATCGGTAACTCCCGGTCTCTCCCGGTCTATTTTGACCGGGGGCGAATAGTACCACACGTTTATTGTCTTTGGAGTAGATGTTTGATATCGTTACAATTCGAAAAAAAACCAACAACAACAACAACAATAGCATTTTTCAGTTTATCTATATGACATAAAAACAAAAAATATGTACAATAATTGAGAAAAAGGTACATTTTTATAGTATTAATATGACATTATCAACTTTGAAACATTTTATTTAATTTGTTATTCGTGTTTAGTATGTTTAGTAAAGATGCCGAGGAATTATTCAAAGTTACAAATTAGATTTTATGAATTATTCTATTGATTGATAATTTAAAAAATGATAAAGAAAATACAAATGTACATGTACATGGTTTAAGAATAAACAATATTATATATTGAAAGGTTAACCATAATTTACTGACTTTTTCCAGTTAAGTTTTGACTTATAATCGTCGGTCAATTCTTAAAATTTATTTTACAATTTTAATAAAAAAAAAGAGAAGTAAACATAAAAACTCAGTATTAAAATAGCACATAAAACACAAAAAAGAAAAGACAACAATATTCATAAAATTTGTTGTTTTTTTTTATTAAAATTAATAGATATTACAATTATTGTATAATAAACAATTATGATCAACATGGTAATATAACTAGTGTCATATTTGAACAAAAACCTTAAGAGGGGGTCTTCGCTAATAGCGATAACATAATAAGGGACAATTACACAAGTGTGGTACGTGTTGATCATGCGTTACACATATGGATTATAAATAATTGTATACATGTATATCCGTTGCTATTAATAACCACGATCATAAAGAAATAACAAGTAATATTCTAATCTCTAGCATGCCAATCAAAGTTCATAATGAACAATGTCTTTCGTCCGCTCATTCATAAGTGATATACATACTGGTAGTTTATAAGAATATCTTGTCATCATATATCTACTAAGTTCATCTTCACTTGCTGCATTTCTTGCTTGGACGCCCTTTGATGCTTTGCATCAATGCTTTTCTTGTAGTATATGAAACGAGCTAGTAAGTAGGATATAATACTTGCTGGGGCGACATCGAGGGATGTTTCTGCTAAAGAGAAATGTCGAGGCCGTTTGTTTTTTTTTGTTTTTTTGTTTTTGTTTTTTTTTGCAGAAACATCCCGAGATGCCACCCAGGCCAGTGTTATACCCTCGTAACTAACGAGTTTCATATATTATAACTGTTTATAGCAATTTCATATTTGTTTTGCAACCGTTATCAGAAAAAAAATAAACATGTGCACTTCTCTCTTAATTGTGCCCTCTCATTTTGTCACCTTTTTACTCCCAGATAAAATGAACCATATTCAAGCTAATGCTGTCGTGAGAAACCTTACAGCTATTTATGATTTAAGGGCTTTTTCAGTGAAAATAATTCATTCAGCGAGTATCATTTGATTTTAGCAGCTGTATAATTATACGAGAATAAATTTCATTTCATTACCTTTTTTTCGCTACTGGGAGCCTTTGTGAAAAATCAACTGATATATACAAGGTGCGAAAACAACTCAACTGCTATATATTAGTTGAGTTTTTTCCCTGTATGAATCAATGAAAAAACTGCACTGTTATATATCAATACAGTTTTCGAATTTTAAAAGTGTACTGCGTATAATGGGTAAGTAAGAATGTTCGAAACCATGCGAAAATTGTCATTTGGACGTACGTTTTGCATATGTTATTTTGAGTTAAGCATTTACGACTCCGCAGTGCATTTCTTAAATCATTGACTAATACATGTTTTGTCATGGTTGATACAAGGACAACAGACACAGCATAATTAATAGACATTGAATAATAAAAACTAAAACTCATCATAATGGCCATATTCAATATTAAATTTAATGTTTCAAATGAGCATAGCATGAATGTTTACAGCTGTGAAATGAGAAGTTTCCCATCAAGTATTATGAATTCATAAGCAGTGAGGGCAAATCATTATAATAAAAGTGATATAGTGAGTAGAAAGAAATGAAATAAAAACCTACAATTTACAATATAAGAATGCAGCATGGCATAACCATTGTAAAGGTTCAATGAACGAATTTACTTGCAGGCACATGGAATCTACAATTTACAATGTAAGAAAGCAGGAAGTAATTTTTGCAGCGATTCTCTTCCATATGAGGAACATGTTATGTAAATACATAATGCTATCGACATATATACTTTTTCAGTACCATACGTAGGTTCCATAAACAATTCAATTTGTACAGAAAACTGAAAATATACATGTAATTGTTTACACTTATATATCCTCATATTCAATGCTTTGTAAGGTCCCGTATTACCAAGGAATAGTTTGTCCTTTGACACCATGGTAAAATCTTCCAGAGTCCTCTTCACCTTTAAGTTTTTCTAAGACGGAAATTATCCCTTCAACAGATTCTTCTGTAGTAATTAGAGCATTCGGTCCTCCCATTTCGGTCTTCACCCAGCCGGGATTAATCGCTGTACATAAGATACCATCGGTTTTTAAATCCAGGCTAAGGTTGGACGTGATCATATTTAAGGCGGCCTGTGAAAATCAAAGAAAATTGCAAAATAAGTAATGAGCAGAAATTCATACATTATTCAAAGTTCGTTGCAAATTCAATCTATACAATCTGATATTTTGATCCTTCAAACTTAATTTTATTCCTCATAAATGAATGTCAAATCAAGTAACACTAGTTTAAGATATTAAGCAGGGTTGTACTTACCGGGTTTAAGGTCAAGCTTTCACTGTATTAGATATAATAGGAGTTAATAGTCATGATGATTAAGGGAAACCCAAGTCAATCCGAGTAACACTCGTACATTACTTTTATTTGTCGTTGAATGCTAAGAAATCATCACATGAAAGAATTGACTTCTAAAGCTGAACTGGAAACCAAACAGATGTAAAGTCAGCGATTCAATGTTTTTAATCTAAAAGAGGTCATATACATGTACATGTATATAAGCATTAAATAAATTAATCTTTGAACAATAAGATAATTTACCTTTGACGCTCTGGAAGGATACATTCCACCTGATGAATTTTCAGTGATTGAAGCCACGCCAGAGGATATATTGATGATAGCAGCTTTACTACATGACATTGGTTCTGAAGACTGTTGACCAGCAGCTTGTCGTAACAGTGGTAAAAACGCCTGAAATTTATCAATAACATACTCAAAATTAGCAAAGTATGATATTCGATTTCTATTTTTTTTTGACGTCAGTTTCTCAGTGACTATGTTGAACTTTCAAACAAAAACATTAATGCTCTAGGAAGCTGTTTCTTACATTGGATGTGCATATTTATAATCAACTAAATTAAAATATAATTTCAAAGAAACACATGGCTACTTTACATCATCGCTTAGTTTTTAGTTTTTAAATTTGAAATGCATCACTTCTGCCATTCGTCTAGTAAATGAGGTCGAACGAACAAGTCTTTGTACAAATATTAATCTTATCTAACTAATTAAAGCAATGAAATTGATAATATTAGACAAAAATTTTAGATTTGGCAAACACTACTTTGAAACACTACCATTGAACACATGTAATATTGGAACAACATGTTGCTTGTCAGTGGCCATGCCGCCACTCGAATTCATATCTATCATCATGATTATTTCAATTCTTTCTTAATAATCTCAGCCGCCAATTACCTGAGCCACCATTAAAGGACCAATGGCATTAACTTCATAACACTTGAGCATATCTTCCCTGGTCACATCTCCAATACGTTGAGTATTTATTAGACCACTGTTGTTGATAAGAAGATTCAAACCTTTTGTTCCAACTATTGACGCAACATGAGATTTGGCTTTCTCTACAGACTCCTGTTTAGTGACATCTATAAGATTTTCAGTCAAATGTTATATAAGCAATGGTTATGCACATACACTCAGAGGCACTTATAACCCGACACTTAAATTTTTCGGTATATACAATTATTGTTACAATGTATTTGCGAACGGACTTTGTTCAACATTGGACCATGCAAAATTCAACATATCACTACTTACAACTTTATTTACAATTTATCGACAAGAAAATAGAGAAAATAACAAAACATATATGCTACTGCAAAATGAAAATTCACAGAATGGCTGTAAATATCGTAACAAAATGAAAAGTCTCTGAATCCCACTAAATTAAATTGAATATTTCTCCATTCCTGAATGAGGGCTTCCTTGATTCAAAGTCACCAGATTTAAACATCACACTTCTCGTGTCGGCTGAATTGAACAGGCGTAAGGAAAAGCGACCAGAAGTCCCTTGCAAGTTGTTGGGACTCGAGCAAGCCCTTGTTTAGGAATAAAGAACTGTGACGCACAGGTGTTTACGTTGTTATAACCAATAAGGAACACATACAAAGTGTAAGAACAGGTTAACATACAGATGTAGTGGGATTTATAGACTAAATTTTGTTACTATTTTTACAGCCATTCTGTCATTTTTCATTTTACAGTAGCCTATTGTTTTGTTATTTTTTCTATTTTCTTAACAATCAATTGTAAATATAATTCTGATATGTTGAATTTTGTATATTCCAAATTTGAACCTATAAATAACCTATTTATACAAAAAATGTTAGTGTTGGGTTATATATAAGCGCGTCTGAGTGTACATGTATTTCAAAAATTAATACACAAAATTTATTGGAAAATTTTAATAAAATGAGACTTGCACACAAACCGGATCATATACAAATCAAAGCACAGAAGGCGCTGAATTTGTTTGGGTCTCAGAATGTCAGAAAGGTGAAGGTTGTGAGATTATAAACCAATTTGTTTTTGTATAGTGCCACCAATGATTTCCAATGTTTTAACTGTAGTAAATTGGCTATAAGACTAATTGCAACACTGATAGTCAATTCAATGTTTATTTCACTTAATTTAAAAAAAAAAAAATGAGTTGCCTCAACGGGGATTTGAACTCGAGACCTCTCGATTCATAAGCGATCGTGCAAACCCTTCGGCCACGGTGAAATTATAAGTTAACGATCTGAAGAAAACCATATTATTCTAAATTAGGGTTTGTAACTCTTATTATTTCGACGCTAAACACAGATGTAAATAATCATGGAGCTTACTGTACATGTAAGCATGTATATCTATAAAGAATGAAACAATATTAGAAATCTTCGACCATTCGGGAACTACTTTGCTTGAAAATTAATGCGCCGGTCATTTTACAATTTTTACACATTGATCTCCCCTGAAATTTTCGGCGTTAGTGTACATATAAAGGGAAGTAACCGCTTAAAAAAAGTGGACTACTTTAGGCATTTGCAATTAAAAGCATTAGGCTCTGAAATTTCGCTACCATTATTTGTTTGGTCTGACGACCCAAACAAATAAAAATGTACACTCTACATTATCTACTCTAAATAATTATCTTGAATCCACTGAATGTATGGAATTGTCATTTCTTATAGTGACATTATGCTTATCCATAGGTAAATGGTCGGCTAAACAGGTAAAAATCAACATAACTTGACATTTTGTCTTAATTTAGGTTTAATTTTACATTTTGATAAGAAAAAATAATCAATAATCCACATGTCCAACGGAAATGTCTATAAATATTCTTTACAATATATTGGAAATGTGCAAATCTAAAAAAGAGTGGGGCAGTCTTTTTATTATTAAGATCGTTTACATATTGTATAACATTTTTTCTTTATCAGTTATGATCATCCTTTTAAAGTCAATCTTTTGAAATATATTACTTATTCAACTCAACTTGACGTGAAAAAAAAAAATGAGCACAATGACACTTTAAGTATAGGTTGATATTATGATGAAAGTAAAGGAGTTGTATAATTTTAATGTAAAATGTTATTGTTCTTAAATTAAAGTGATATAAACATTATCAATTCATACAAAAGATACAGAATGCATATCCACACACACGCACGCACGCAAGCACGCACGCACACACATAGCATTTTACACGTTATTTGAACGGGAAAAATGGCACCATGAGATGCCAAAGAAGGATTGCTCTAAGGTCAGAGGAGATTTAAATAGGGAAATGAATAAATATTTAATTCAAATAAGGAAATGAGAAACAAACAAGAAACACATATTAACCAAAAATCACATATCAAAAATATAAACAAGTCATAGGAGTACATACATAGGGAGGTTCTGTAAAAGAATATAGGTATAAACCAAAGTCAATATCAATTTTCAAAAAAGTGCAAAGTGTCAGGTGACCGTTCAGAATATTTGTATATCGGGAATATGTAAAGGGAATATAAGATATGTTTTTATTACCTTTCCCTATTTACATTCTTACCTAGTTCAACTATAATTACAGATGAGTTTGACTTTGCAATCTCCTTCAAATCCTGGAAAAATGCGAAATTATTAGAAAAAACTTTGTGTCTTACATAAGGTTACTCCTCTTGTACACTGATTGTTTCCACTTATTGTAATGAATGGTCATGATACATGTAAATTAAGAAGTTGTTTTCAGATGTTTTAACAAAGTGTTTGAAATCCTTGGTAATTTCGAAGAATCTTGATACCTCTATTGATACAGATATAGGAACAACGATGCTTATCTTAATTAAGAAAGACACATGTAATAGTGCATAGGAGAAAAATAGATAAAATTATAATATTTTAAATATAAAAGTATATATACATGTATACATATTTTATACATGTTTAATTACCTAAAATATACAATGTCGATTATGCTGGTAAGATGTATAGTAAAGGTAATGCTATATCGACACTAAAAAGAATGTCGATTGACCAAAATATACAAGGGAAAATATTGTTTGGACATTTCACTTGAAAAAAGAAGACAAGTTAAATCATTTTATTTTCGTTTTGTTGCAAGCGGAAAGTACGGTGCCTCGTTGTTGTCATCGTGACACACACATATAACTCGAAACAATACAAACACGAAAATAGGGTGGTGAAAAGTCGAAAGTACGACGGTGAAAAGTAGAAAAAATAACGAAACGACGATGTGGATTTTAACTTCTCATCATCGTTTTTTCCACTTTTCACATTCGTGGTTTCCGTCGTTAATTCAACTTTTCACCATCGTACTTTCAACTTTAATCTGCGTGGATACAACTACAAATAAAATAATAGTGTTAATGACTTATGGTCATAATGTTAGCACTAATAAGAAAATTGTGTGTAACTATTTCGGACTCAAGCGACATCTTTATATAGATTGTCATTCATTGCGAATGCTTAACAGGGAGACGAAAATACGATGGTAAAAACCTGTAAGTACGACGTTGAAAAGTTGAAACAAAGATGATGAAAAGTCATTGTTTCGAGTTACGTGTGTTTCGCGAAAGCCCTAGCTAACGGGACATCGAAGAAAAGACAATCGCAGCGCGACAGCACGAAAAAGACGACACTCTCATGACTTGTTTTTTTAACATATACATGATTAAGGGGGTCATATTTAGATTACAGTGGCAAATCTGACTTGTCACATACACCTTCACGGTGAAAGGGCGTTTACCACAACTTTTCCGCGCAACGTCAAAATATCATACTTCGGAGTCAATAGGCCTTTTTTCAACATATGTTCCCTACAATTTACAATAGAAACACACACTTTTGTATGGAACTTGAATTTATGCCTAACCATAATGTAAACACGAGCTCGTAAGGTCATAGAACAAATACATCGTCGTTTAAACGCATGTTTTTGTGGCAAGTACGAGTCATGTTGAGGTAGACACGATCTTTTGTGAACACTATTTCTTCGAAGTATGTAATTTTTGTGAATTGTATTGTGCTAGATTAACGATAAATTGTTTCAGAAATTCGATGGAGTACTTAAACAATTGGCATAATTTTGCAATGCCCAGCAGTAAGATATTTTGTAAGCTATTACCTGCAATTTGGTTATCCCGCCGTCTCGGTCAGAAGTATGATATTTTGACGTTGCGTAAACGCCCTATCATCGTGACCTTTGTCACTTGACGTACTTTAAGAAAATGTGACCGGGGGTGGGGTCTTGGTGTAAAGGTATGGTTTTCGGATGCATTCTGCTATTATAAGTATGAAGGGAAACTAAAGCTATCTGACCTGTGACCTGCATTATAATCTAATCGTCATCAGTCGCGAAATATAATGTGAATGTATGGAATTTAACTTACTGTCGCTGTGGCAGAGTCCCTACAACATGCAAACACAAATTCCGGCGGATTTTTCAGGTTAAGAAACTGTTTTACAAACTCTAGTCCAATGCCGCGGTTACTTCCAGTGATTAAAATAGATCTTGGTGAAAGCATCTTTCTCATTTAAAATTATCGATTATCAATGTCCTACATTTTTATCATTGACCTTTTTAAACTGTACTGTTTATTATGGAACGCCATACCTGACTTCTATATATACACCCTTCTTTAGTTGTGATATCGTATTGATAACTGCGGATGTCGTTTTGAGAGTTGATAGATGTGATGTCGTTTGTGGTGATGTAATTTTGAAGGATGATGATGTGGCTTGATAGTTTGTGTTGTCAATTTGATAAATATAAAAAAATATGGCATAGGTCATTTAACCCATTGCTTCATGAGCATTTTGTGAAAAATGGCTGTTTTCATTGAAAAGTCTCCCGTTACAAGTTCAAATTGCTATAATACTATAAAAACTGCTTCAACACTAATCAAACTTGGCACAAATGTTGACTGGACCATTGTCCTTGCAACAACATGCTCAGGCTTAAATTTTCTGTTACCATGGCAACGAGGGGACATCTCAAAATTGCCAAAAATCACTATTTTGCGTTGATTTTTTCCATCAAAATTGATTTCAAAGTGCTGCAACTTCTCAATGGATTGAGATAGAGTCAAATGCTTTT